CATTATGTAATGGCAACTTTCTTTCTGTTTCAGATGTTTCCAAACTTTTTTACCTGTAATGATAACTTTTCCATCTCCAGGTCTGAGAAGGTTAAAAACACTTTTTTCGTTATTTGCACAGTCGACACAGGCCTGAATGGCTTCTCGCAGGACTCGATTCATGGAGCCAGGTCCAAATTGGATTGGAAGCTGAGTAACTTTTCGAGGATCCAAATGAGGTCCACAAGTACAGGAATGGTTTACAAATACACATACTACAAGGAAAACAATATACATAATGAAAAATGTTCATTAGTTCTAAATATTTTGTTAAAAAAATATTAATCAGTAAAACCAAGAAATACAACTATTACCCCATTTTCTGAGTAAATAACAAAAATTAGAACCATTATCAATCAGTAAGTCATCTTCACCAACAGAAGCCAAAACAGTGCTTTTCTGATTTCCCTCTTTTATTTTCATCTTTTAAGATTATAGTTAATAAAAATAATTTTATTTCAAACAATAACAATTTTCACTCTATAAATTAAACCATGCTAATCTAAACCCTAAACTTATAAACTCTCAAGCAAATTAAAATATTAAAAAGAACATAATTTAGCCAAACACTTACAAAGATGACAAAACTGACTGCCATTTTCATTCACAGTCTAAATCAAAAATATCAGCAGAAACACAGTGATTAACTTGTATGATTAATTATGAAAGGTTAGGCTACAATAACTGCTAGAATAACTTTGCAAGTAATAATTACACATTACTAGTATAAACAATTTGGAGTAACCTCACTTGGCATTACAACAAATACTATAGTTTCAGCCATCTAAAATTTTCTAATATACAATTAATCTATTTACTAGACCTTAAAATCAGAAGTCATGTTACGGTTTTAAACAATTAGTACCGTGAACGTGTGGGTAATAAGAAATTGCATACTTGTGTCTTCTGATCAATGGTGACAAACAAGACAATGAAAACTGTGTACACAGGCTGCCCACTCACTCCAATTCAGTTCACAGTTCTGGCTAGTCTGCAGCTGGACTTGACAATACTCAGCTGACTGTCTAAATAGGCTGTCATCAGATACAAGACAAAAACTGACAGGGAAAGCAAAGAGCTTCAAGTGATAGCAATCAATAGAGCAAATTGCAAGAACTCCTGCTGTCATTTCCAGCCAAGACAAGACGTTAAAAAAAAAAGAATAAAACATATGTATGCACAGTACACCAATTTTTGTGTACAGGCAGACTTTGTCTTAATGTATGTATACATAATTTTGTGTTAACACGACCTCTGTATCTGTATATACATATATAAAACTAATTGATACACAGTTTCAATATCTACAACACTATCACAGCTGTTAAGCTTTGTAAAACAAGTAATCTAACTACATTTCTAAATGGAGTTCAACAACAGCTGACACAGTAAAAAAACAAAACAAAAAAGGGCTAACCAGTGGGATTTTGTTTTGCAACAGTGCTTGTGTCTGGTTCTGTAACTAACACATTCGGTGACCGAGGCCGCTTTGAGTCTTCTTCTGAATCAGCTGACACAGATGTTGCAGAGTTTGACTGTTTGTCAGATTGCTGACTATTGTTGGTAGAAGTTCTTGTTCGAGTGCTACTACTAGGATCGGAGTTCTGACTGCTGTTGGTAGAAGTCCTTGCTCGAGTGCTGCTACTTGGGCTCTGGGTGTTGCGAGGCGATGGAGGTCGAGGAGGAGGGACTGGAGGTACAGACTGGGGAATATTAACTTTGGCCTGTGTCTTTGGCTTACTTCCTGGCAAAGCTAACCAATGGTTAAAAAAAAGTATCAGTGCACATCTTAATCCTGAAAAGTTTAAAACTTAAGATCAAACCACAAAATAAGTTGTAGAAATTTGCATGTTCTAACAACTTACAGATGGCTGCAAGTTTTATCTTTACATTTATATATGTTTCCAAAAATACTGTGTACGAAGCAAATTACATGTTGTTTGAAAATAATTTTCTACTTCCATAAAGGAGAACAAAACATTATCATTTTGAAATAAAGAAAATTAAAAACATTATGCAACAGTATTAAAAGTTATTTTGCTTTACTAAACAGAGCACATATCCTTTTTTGCTCATTAATAATTCCCAATTATCTCGAAAATATTTTAACAACAATTTTTTACAATTAAAAAATCTTACTACTTTATTTTCAAGCTATTCTCTTCACTGTACGCTACAGAACAAGAGAAAATGAAAGAAATACAGAACACAAAGGTTTCTATAACAGCACTACCTTTATACCCTGGAGGTTGAAGAGGATGGCCACTTGCTTTACACCAGCCCACAGGAAAGATATCCCTTGAATCAACCTTGCACCAGTAGTCAAAGGCTCCTCTCCAGCCATCAAAAGCAACAAAAATCATATCATCCTTCACAGTTGCCACTGTAGCTGGGCACACCAGATGCGGGTTTTTCCTGTCCAAGGCTTCTAACTTCATGCCCACTTTAAAGTTATTAGATTTTGGTGTCAATGGTTCCTGTAAATTATGCAATTAATACCAATGATTCTAATAAGTTTACCACACCCTCCTGTCACCTATTAGTTCTCTGAACCAATTTGACCAACCACATGACCTTTTTGTACTCATTTAAAGTCTATATAGATTTAATACTTCTAACTTTCAATACAGTAGGTATATCTTCACAAAATTTGGCAGCCTTTCAGTTAATATTATAAGTCTTTCACATACAATAAATCATATTGTTTAGTGAAGTATTTATAATAAAATAAAGATTTTCCCATGAATCTATTGAGTATTTGTTTTGAATAGTCCGTGTGCAAAGTAGTTTTCATGTTAAAATTAAAAATACTTTTCCTCATCTCAAATTCTCTTTGTGTAATCCCTAAAACCTACCTAAATGCATTTCAAACGTTTTTTTCAGTAAAAGTTTATAGTTTATCTGTTGTTTTCTCTACCCTATCTTAAAACAGAATCAGTCAATTTGACCGACCTCGTAACAACCAAAAAAATCCAAATAAACATAAATTACCTTTATTTCTTTCTAGAATGACTTCAAATTGTAACGTGAGACTACATTTGTTTATCCTAAGTAGCTCTAAGTTCTTAAATTAACTTAAATTTTATTGTTATATTGCCCTTTGAATCATGTCTTGTTACTATTCACACCATTATAAGTTGTAAATCATTCGGGGAGTGTGCAGCTCACGTTATGTTAAACGAATTACATTACTCACAAGCTGCTCATTTGTGTGCCTCGTGAAACATTTTTATTATAATATTATTATTTATTTTACCTAATCTAATCTTAACTAACCTAAATGGATCCTTATTTTTACATTTTAGTTATTTTTATAATTATACATAAAGAGTAAACATGAAAAACAAGAAATAAAATACTTAACCAATCTTTGTTTTTCTTGCTATCAAGTTTTGAAGAGAATTTACCCTAATTTTTTATGCTGTAGATAGTAATGCACTTAATTTTTATTTAATTAAATAATGCACCAAAGAAAATATAGACTAATAACATGCAAAAAGTAGACAACTTCACTTACCTCTCAAAATGTTCATGGCTTTCTAACTATGAAACAAGAGCCGTTACAAATTCCTCTAAGCTAGTCATTAACTTACCCATGGGAGTGAACCATGCATTACAAGTGAAATTGACGCTTATCTGTTCAGAACACAGCATTATACAATACATTATTTGATAGATGAAAACCTTGACTTTCTATTGGCTATAGGTAATATATAATGAAATGTAAGAGAGAACTATCAATGAATTCTGAAAGAGAGAGGATGTGACATGTGGATGTGGCAGTAAGGGTCTGATTTTCTACTCAATAGCTCTGTAACCAAACAAAATTGAAGGCTATAAAAATTATGGTTTGTCTGAGCAATAATGATTTTACAGGGAGTAATTTACATTTAATTTCATACTTTTTCATGGGGTGGTGGATAAAATAGGGATGATGACATGCTAAGAGAAAATGTGTCACATGGGTCACACTAGTGGAAATTAAGGATTTTTTTAAATATTGCCTTGTCGAATTATGAACTTAAAACTTGCATGCTATTAAAATATGGATTATAAGCTAAAATTTTATGCTATTCTTATTGGTATAACATAAATAAAAAGTAGTTTAATAAAATTTTGAATGTAAGGCATTAAAATCTTGTGTCATGCACAGTAAAGGATACCCATGGCGATAAGGTTGAAAACCATAAGTTTAGAATAGTGTTCCAAACTTAAAATGTACGTGAACATTTCAAGACAATTCAAAGTGCCTTCAAAATGAAAATCTGACTACCTTAGCAGTTCAAAACTTTATCATAAAATTACCACAGATGCCTAAGCCTCAAATGTTCTCTCAAATTAATTATACCTACCGCCTGAAGATAGAGAACCACTCTAGGAAAGATTATCTGTCATCTGCTCAATAAAAGCAGGTGTCATAAAATTACTGGACATAATAGTATTGAAGACCATATTATACATTTTGACACACAAAAATATGCAATCATAATTATTTAGATTAAATATTAGATTTATCAAAAATAACCATCTTAGGTTTTCCTGAGGTTTTGCACATTTGTGGCATTATATCAGTTAGTTTACCAAAGTCTTCAGAAGTGAGAAAATTCCAGTCTGTATTACATTATGTAGGTACTACATCTCTCAATTTCAACCCAAACGAGTTCAATAGGTGATAAGTCTGGTGACTTTGGTGATCAAGTCATGTTTTTCTCATTGTCCGTAGCCTTCATTGTAACAACTTAGATGTATACTTCAGATAATTCATTGTTCTGTTGGAAAACAATATCTTGGGCCAGTAAGTCTAACACAAGAGGGCATGGCACATCTTTTTCAAATACTAATAATTCTACTAATTGTACCCATGAGTCTGTAAATGACTCTTGGTCTCTTTGTATCAAAACAGCTTGAAATCAAGGTCTTTCCATTGCTAAGCACAACTGAAGAAGTTTTAAAATTATTCTCTTTGTAATTATATGATGATACGTTTTAGGGTCACTTTGAGAAATCTAATGTTTAAGCTGAAACTATCAGACTATAATTGCATTTGTATATGTCTAATTATATAACTTAGTCTTTATTCCTATAATTGTGTGTGTTTCTTTTCATATCAACTCCAAAGATGGATGCATTTGCTTCCAAACCTTTGAACAATGGTGTGTGTGTGTGTGTGTGTGTGTTTATATCTACACACACACACACGTATATACATACATACATAAAATGTTTGTACAACAGTTTTTTTTTTGAAAGTCGATAACCTCTTAAAATATATAATAAGTATAAATATGTTTAGTTTGATTGTACTGTCATGGTAACTAAAAAAAAAAACAGATAAAAATCTTAAACTCCTGATTCTGATTCAGTATGTCTCATACATGAAGTGAAGGCACAGCCTTTTTAAAACTGCAATAGACCGTAACCTAATTTTCAGGTAATGGACCTACAAACAAGCCCATAACTATGTAAGAAATAATGGAAGTGAGATATTTTGAACTAAACACACTTTAGAGTAAAATTCCTTTTAATATCAAAATATCAATTTAATTGTTTCTAATTGGACTAACAAAATGATAAAGATTTGCCTTTAAACATGTGTAGTCAAGCACGAGTTGAAAAATGTGTTGCCAATTCCTTGGTAACCCTTGTGCCTTACACGTTTTAAAGGCATATACAGAAATTCTTGAAATTTGAAACTACAGCAAAACTAAGTTAAAAACCAATCTTAAGCTATCATAAATGTAATAAAGGAAATAACATGTTAATTTAACTGAGAACAATCATGAACTGAAATTAAATCAATAAAAATTATTTCTTGCCCATACACCTGAACCAACTTGATGCAACAATCCTGAAATTATACATTTAGAACTACTTGAACATTGAAAATTTTAAATATTACATTAATTAATAATATAAAAAGGCATAAAACATCAAATATCTTTATTATGAATTAAATATGTAAAAATAATCATAAAAAAATTCAGATTTATACTATATAGCCTTTTTCGAAAATATACTTGAGCTTCACATTTTGTCAACTCGACCATGTTCTATACATTTTAGTAAGTATAAATTTCTTCCAATGGAATCATTACCATGGTCTATTCAACAATTGCATTCAAAATCTCTTTATTTTCATTGGATTGGATACTAAATCAATTTTCTTTTTTCTTTAAACATAACCATCACCCCACAGATTCTGCCTATAATAATAACTCTTTAAAGCACCCTGTTTTCTTTTTAAACATTATCTGAAAACAGTTAAGAGCTGAAGTTAAACCACTGATTTATCTATCATTCCCATCATAATTGCAACTATATACAAAACGCACACACACAAATCAATTTTTTTAAACACATAAAAATATTATTCAAATACTATTGAATATCTGATTAAAATCTTACCACTTGATCTGAGCTATGATGTTTAATTAAACTTAAAGCTGGCTGGAATGCTTCTTACAAATATACTTTTGTTTAGATTAAAAGTTAATTTTTAAAACTGGGGTAGATATTCAGTCAGATTCTACTAACAACAGAAACATTCTTTCATTCATACTGGCCTTATTGTGGTTGTAATCAACTTCTTACAAGATAGAGCAGGTTGTGATTATATTCAAAAACTTTATATACAAATCACGAAGCATATAAACATTTTGTGATTCTGGCTGCCATGTTGTCAATATTCTGCCCTCCAATGAATTGTTGCCAATCTATTAAAATAAACTAAGTAAATTATGACTAATTAATTCATTATGCTCTTTTAAAAAATATTAAAAACTTTTAGGTATTTATTATGTGGTAATTTATATTAAGTGTACACTTGTATGTCCGATCAAATTAACTGAAATCAAAAATCAATATACTGAGAGATTCATATTACCTAGATATTATTTTTTCTCATGTAATGGTAAAAATGTTACTATCAAAAGGATATTACAAAAACATGACATCAACATTTCGCAAAAGCACAAGATCTAAATGTGTTATAACTAACAACACACAGAACCATCTGAAATGCAACAAATATTCTACCTTTTTGAATATTTTGGCTGGTGCAATTTCTGCCCCATTCAAAGTTTTCAATAAAAACATGGGCCAGGATGAAGCATTCATTCGAAACCCTAGAGGAGGCTGCAACATTCCACCATTTTTCTCACAGTGACCAATAGGATGTATCTCTGACGAGTCTACTAGTCGCCAGAAATCATTTTTGTTGTCTCCTCCATCTAATCTTAGACGCAGACGGGGACCCTGGATACCCACAACTGTTGCTATACACGTAGAGGTTACATTTCTAGGATCCAGAGCTTCCAGTTTCATACCAACTTTAAACTCATTAGTTGGTGGCTGTGGATGCTACAATAAAGTATTGGAAAATTACAAAACCACTACTTAAAAGAATAATTACTTTCTAATAACACAATGCTTTTTCCTTTCTTTAATGACCAACTGAAAAATATTATAAATGTGTTTTTGATGAAATTAGATGAATTTCTTAGTTATAATTCATTCATAAAAGGTCCTCTATTTGTATTATTGTTTGTTTTTGAATTTCGTCGCAAAGCTACACGAGGGCTATCTGCGCTAGCCGTCCCTAATTTAGCAGTGTAAGACTAGAGGGAAGGCAACTAGTCATCACCACCCACCGCCAACTCTTGGGCTACTCTTTTACCAACGAATAGTGGGATTGACCGTCACATTATAACGCCCCCACGGCTGAAAGGGCGAGCATGTTTGG